ATAGGCCATCTCTATCAGTTCACCTCTCAATCTCCCAACTGTCACGCCTTTAAAGATAAGATTAATATTTTACTTGAATAATTTATAATCTTTTTTTTTAGATTAATATAATGTTTTTTAAATATAATATTTTTTTAGGATGATTTTTTATATATTTATTTTTTACATACTTTTTTCTGAATATCCTTTGATCGCTAAAAATTATTTTATTTTGTATATGATTTTTTTTGGTTATTGCCACTTTCGGGGGGCATATTATTTTTTTTTTTATTTTATTTTTTTTATATTATTTTTAAAATTAATAAATCAATTTTTTATTTAAAGATATTTAAAAAAAATTTTTAAAATAAGATATTTAAAAAAGTTTTTTCTATAAAATTTTGTATTAGGGGTTAAATATAGGAATTCTTAATTCCGATTCTTCTTAGCGTTTATATATGGGGAAGGGAAGGGGGGGGGGGGGGTAGGAAAATTTTGAATACAAATTTAATTTTTTACTTAAGATATTTTAAAATATTTTTTTATACAAAATTTTTGGTAGATGAAATTATGCATATTAAATTTCTTTTGGTTATAATACTAAGAGGAAGATCCCATAAATGAAAAATGCTTACAAAGTTATTAAAGGGGGTATGGGGGTAAGAGAAATTTTTGGTAGATGAAACTTTGCATTTTAAATTTGTTTTTTTTTGTTATTACTATGATTAAAGGAAGATCTTATAAATAAATAAAATTTAAGAAGCTTTAGGAAAAATAGCATAACTTTTTTCTGGAAATAAATAATAATCTAAAATTTTGTAATAGGGGTAAAATAGACCCTACCTTTGAAGTTTAAGTGGTTTTTTTAACTTTTGTAGTGAAAGGTTAAGAAATATAGTATTAAATGACGCAATAGTATTAAAATTTATACACGAAATATAATTATTAAATAATACAATTTTATTTATTAATTGAATTTTATTATAAAATATCTTAAATAAAAAATTAAATTTGTAGGCAAAATTATCCTACCCCTCTCACCCCCCCCCCCTTATATATAAACGCTGAGAATAATCGGAATTATGAATTCCTATATTTTACCCCTAATACAAAATTTTGTAGAAAAAACTTTTTTAAAATATCTATAAAAATTGGTAGAAAATACTTTTTTAAAATTTAAATAAAAAATTGATATATTAATTAAAAAAAAAAAAATATGAAAAAAAATAAGAAAAAAAAAATAACCAATTTTGATTTTTTTAATAATTTTTTTGCTATAATATATTTTCATTTTTTAATATATTTTTGATTGGTAATTTTTTTAAATATATATTTTTTAAATGATTTTTATATATTTATTATTTAAGTACTTTTTTTCGGAATCTTTTGATCGTTGATTTTTTTAAAAGTATTTTTATTAAATATATATTTTCAGGGATCCAAACCGAAACGAATATCGGCTCGGTTTAGGTTCAGGTTGGGATAAAAATAACGGTTCAAGGTTCAGGTTCGGTTCGCAAAAAATAAAAATATCGGTTCGGTTCGAACCTCTAAAACCCGGTTGGAACACTTTTATATTCAAACCTACATTCGAATTATTTATGGGGAAAAATTTTTTTTATTTCATAATTTAAATAAAAAACACATACATAAAACCTTCATTTTTATTAATTGCACATTATAAAATAATATTTAATTTATAAATATAATAAAAATAAATATCAATGATTAATTTTATTATAAGCAATTACTTAAAATTTTTTTATTAAGCGCACAATTAATATATTTTCAAAATCCGTCTCACTCAAATTACATCTATAAGAAGATAATATAAATTAAATTGTTGAAAAACATCTTTCCACCTAATTTGGGTAGCTGGCACTTCCAGTATTGTTGAATAATATAATTTTAGTTTTATAAATTGCAACCTTTATTTTAGTCGTACGTAACTTATATTTTAGTTTATTTTAAGATTATATTTTCATTTTAGTTTTATTTATTCAAATATTAGGGGAGACCGGGGTAAAGCGATTGACGGGGTAACAATGTTAACGCGAATAACTTTTTAACCATTGAGTATAAAGACCTTAAATTTGGTGTGAAGATGTATTTTTATATCTAATTTCTTACCTATGTTCATCTTTTAAAAAACTTACCTGGTTTTATATATTTTGTCAAAAAACTGTTTTTTACCCAAAAAATATAAAAATCATTCTCTTGTATATTTTGCTTTTAGTAAAATTTACATATCCTCAGGATTCAAAATTTGGCACACATGTTCCTTAATGTATTAGCTATAAAATAAAATTTATCTGACATCTTTAGCTATATTAGAAGTCACGCAATAACGATATTTATAATATATGTCACCTAGGGGTAAAGCTGTTATGGGTAAAACGGTTAAAATATAAAATTATTCACATTAATTTTTCATTAATTTATTTATTATAATTTTTATTGGATCAACCAAATAATGAGAAATTATAAAAGAAAAACCATATACAGAGATGTAAATATAATAAATGAAGCCATAAAATATAAAATAACAAATAATACTTCATTAAATTTGTCTGCTAAAAAATTTAACATACCTTATACAACGTTGAGAAGGAGATGTAAAATTGGTATTAAAAGTTCAGATCATCATAAACAAATATTTACAAATGAAGAAGAATCTAGATTGTGTGACTACATATTAGAAGCAAGTAGGTCATTTATGGGATTAACGCCTAAACAAGTAATTAAATTATATTGTTTGTATTATATTGTATTTCATAATTTTAATAACTCAATTTAAATATCAATATTAATTTGGTAACTTTAATAAAAATGCTCAATTGAAATTATATTGTATTTCATAATTTTAATAATGCTCAATCTAAATATCAATATTAATTTAAAAATGCTCAATTGAAATTATATTGTATTTCATAATTTTAATAATGCTCAATCTAAATATTATTAATTTGGTAACTTTAATAAAAATGCTCAATTGAAATTATATTGTATTTCATAATTTTAATAATGCTCAATCTAAAAATAATGTGGGGCAACAATTTCAGATTTATGATATTCCAGGAGTGTTAAAAAATGAAATACCAAGGGCAGTGACATCAAATAATATATTAAATGGATTCTTAGCATGTGGCATATTTCCTTTAAACCCAAATATATTTACAGAACAAGATTATATCTGCTGTAATAATTCAAATGCTAACTCAAATATTGAATTTGAAAATAATGATGAAAATATTACAGTGACTCAAAATAATGATAGTGATTTATCTATATTATTGAACGAAAATGTTCCAGATGATATTGATGAACCTTATCATGATATGTTACCATCATGCTCAAAAAATTATAATAAAGTATTCAATCCTTCATCTATAATACCTATTCCAAAATTATTCAATATTTCATCGGATAAAATATCTAAAAAAAAGAATTCAGAAATATTAACATCTACACCTTATAAAAAAAAATTATTAATTCAGAGTAAAAAAAAGATATCAAAAAATAATTGTGTATGTGTTATTTGTAATAAAAACTATAAAAATAGTCGCGAGGGCGATGAATGGCTAAAATGTACAATGTGCCTTGAATGGGCACATTCTAAATGTGCTAATTATGATAATTATTTTACATGTCCTTATTGTATCGATTAGTTTTTAAATAAAAATCATAAATAAATCTTAAATTTGTAATATTTGTTAAATAAAACAATAAATATGTGTCAAATATTATTTTAACCACTTTACCCTAGTGCTTATCCATTTTACCCTGTACCCAGGGTAAAATGGCGAAAATGAGTAGTTTTACATAACTAATCATAGCTCCTAAAATATTATAGGTAGAGGGCTACACTTTTTTTTATCTTGTAGAAGAGAGATGGGGCTACACATTGATCTATAATTTGTTGTGTTTGACTCTTGTTTAAAATTTTTATGGTAAATATGCAAAATGCCTATCGTTTTACCCCGGTCTCCCCTACTTTTGTAAAAAGATATAAATACTTTGTAAAAAAGTATAATAAAACAGATAATAAAAATATATTTTTTATTCTAAATGTTGCCTCGGTGTAAGGTTGGCAAAAAAGACTCGCCACCATGCAATTTTTTTTTAATTTTAAAAAAAAATTTTTTTTTTTCCTCTTCCATATATTTTTATGAGATGTTATATGTAAAAATATTAATAATATAAAAAAAACGAAACAAATAAATTCTATAAAAGAAGGGAAAAAAAAGGTAAAAATCATTTTAAAATTATTCTTAATATGTTTTCCTTCAAACTTATTAATATACCTTTGGATATATCAATTTACGATATACTTTATGAATTTACTTATGATTATGATATACAATATTCAAGAGAACCCAATAGTGATTATGTTATTTTTGAATTTTTTAGTCTCATGGAAATGATTAAATATTTTAAACAACTTAATGGAAAATTTTACTTTATAACGATTCGGAGTTTATTCAACTCCGGTATATATTTATAAAAATATAAAGTGTCATTATTATTTTCAAATACTTATATGAAATATTATAAAAATCATTAATAAATAATGGACACTAAACCAGAATTAATATACAAAATTCTAAAACTGGTTGGACCACTCACTGAGATTTACTTAAACAGAATAGTACGTTATTTTTCGACCAGCGCATTACCTGACTCTATTAAAATAAATACTTTACTTAATAATTTATCTGATGATGTGTTTGATAATATTAAATCAATTTGCTCTGATACCGATATATTAGATCTTAAGATAGTGATTAAGAAATTAACTTACCTTTTACCTGTACAAGATAAAAATATTTTAATAAACAAATTCAACTTATTACAGCAGAATTCGAGTGAGAATTTCATGCAATGGTACATAAGAGTATCAAAACTGCATTAAAAATGTATTTTCAGACGACAGTAGATTAAAAGAAAAATTACCTATGTCTACCTTAAATGACAAAATAAAATATAAATTTTGTAAAAATATTAATTTAACCTTAAATGAAATGGTTGAGTTAGGAATTAGATTAGATAGTATGAATGATAAATCAGATATTGATAATATAAATTATATGAATAACGATAAAAAGTCTGATAAAGATAAAAACTTTAACAATAGAAATAGAAATGACAATAATAATTATTTTAGAACTGTTAATAATTTTAGAAATATTTTTAGAAATAATTATGATAATAGAGATAATAATAGGAATAGAGATAAGAATTATAACAATAATTTTAGATACTATGATAGGAATTACGGTAATAATAATTCTAGATACCAAGATAATTATAATAACTATAATTACAACAACTATCGCTACAACAATAATAATCAATCTAATTATGGTAGAAATAATACGTGGCATGATAATAATCAAAGAAAACAGATCCAATACGGTGGCGTAAATTGTAACATTTACCAATCTTATAGCAAATTCAAATAATTATAGAGGTAGCGACAACAATAATAGAAAGCAAATACAATACAACAACAACGATTACAATATGAATATTAATTAAATTATTGAAGAGAAAGTCGACTCTACAAAGAACAAAGATGATAACGATTTCAATGTTAACAACTTATCTGGGGACATGCTTAATGATAAAGATAATGTATTTATGACTACTTTAAAAGTGAACGATATTGTTACGAGTATGCAAGTCGACATAGGCTCCAAACATACTATCATACCTCATGGTCTGGCTAAAAAACTTGGTATTAGAGATGTTAAGAAATCCGAGTTACAACTTACTGCTTATGACGGAAATTTAATCAAGATCATCGGCATTACTCAAGTTAAAGTGACTTATGAAGGTATCTCAAAATATTTACAAGTGGTGGTCGTTGAATCAAGAAAAAATGCCTTGTTGGGACGTATATGGATCAACGCTTTCAAAAATATCTTAAAAAAATTTATAGCAAATGTTGACATTAATTATGAAGATGAAATAAAAAAATTGATTAAAGAGTGTGAATCCAAATTGACTAATGGGCCAATCAACAAAGCAAGTGTCAAGTTACATTTAAAAAGAGATGCCCAACCTAAAATTATACCGCCTAGTCGTATTCCTTATTTAAAAATTGATCTTATGAGCAATGAACTTAAAAAATGGATACCTGATAAAATTATTGAGCCGGTGAATGATGTCCGATGGGCAAGTCCAGTTACCGCTGTCTACAAAGATGATGGGAGCATTAGGCTTTGTGCTGATTTTAAGGATAGTGTGAACCCAGCTCTAGAAGATTTCAGATACCCTCTATCACAATCAATGATCTAATAGCTAAACTTTCAGAAGGAAAGAAATTTACAAAGATTGACTTTAAAAATGCTTTCTTACAGGTCCCGATTGATAAAAGTTGCAGAAATATTTTAACTATATCTACGCACAAGGGATATTACCAATTTACTAGACTTCCTTTTGGGGACCTCATCTGCAATCTTCCAACAGATCATGGATCAAATCTTCGGTGACATGGATGACGTCATATTTTATATTGATGATTTACTTATAACTGGGAAAAACGATGAAGACCATAATAACATAAAAAAAGTGTTTGATAGAATATCATCATTTGGGCAAGTACATAACTTTAACAAAAGTGTGTTCATCCAAAACACAGTGACCTGTGTCATAATATTGACGCCAAGGGGGATTCATGCTAATCACGACAAAATTGAAGCAATAATTAATATGCCAGAACCAAAATCAGCTGCTGAATTATCAACATTTCTGGAAATGGCTGGCTACTATAGAAAATTTTTAAACAATTTTGCAGAAATAGCCGATCCTCTATATAAAATCGTCAACAAAGAAAAATGGGCTTGGAACTTAGAACACTCTAAAAGTTTTAATGATCTTAAGAAGTTGATTAGTCTTCCACCTGCTTTGACATATTTTAACCCTGAATTACCTATAGGGATAGCCACTGACGCATCTAAATGTGGTTTAGGAGCTGTATTATTTCATACTGAAAAAGACGGTAAAGAAAAACCTATAGCTATCACGTCAAGAACTTTATTAAAATCCGAAATGAATTATACCAATATTAAGCGTGAGGCTCTCGCTATTATGTTCGCTATAAAGAGGTTCCAGGAATACTTAATCGGCACAAAATTTACAATTATTACTGACCATAAACCTTTAGTTCACATCTTTACCAAGGGTCTTAAGGATAATAGTACTATGTCCTTAAGACTCCAGAAGTGGAATATAACATTAGAAGGATATGATTTTAATAAAAAGTATAAAGCCGGTAAATATAATGTTGTTCCTGATTGTCTCTCGAGATTACCACAAGAATGTCATGATGAAGCTGTTGAAAATATCACTATATTAAATGAATATGGGGATTTACCTATAAATTTTAATCAAATTCGTGATGAAACTTTGAAAGATATTGAATTAAAACAAGTCATAAATGATATTAAGAACAACAGGCCTATAATTAACAATATCTATAAAAACATTGAATCGGAATTAAGTATAATTAAGGATCAAAAGCAACAGAATCATAATTCCGTCTTCTATGAGAAAAAATGTACTACAGTCATTACATGAAGGTCACCTGGGAGCAGGAAAAATCAAATCCTTAGCCAAAGATTACATATGGTGGTCTGGTATAAATAATCATAGAAATGGAAGTGAAAAGTTGTGACGATTGTAACATATATCATGATAATCCTAAAAAGATACAAAAACCTTGGGTTTCGGCAACCAAACCGTTTGAAAAGATACACATGGATTATGCGGGCCCGTTCTTCACAAGAAATTGGTTGATAATAGGCGATGCCTACAGCAAATTTCCAATTATTGTTCCTGTTAAAAATATTACGACCGATGTTACTTTAAAAGAAATTTTTAAAACTATTTCGCTGGAATACCTGAAACTATAGTTACTGATAACGGCACTAACTTTACGAGTAACGATTTTGAAAAATTTTGCAACAATTATGGTATCAAACATGTGCTCACATCTGCTTATCGCCAGCAAAATAACCAGTTAGAACGCATGGTGAGATCAAAACACATATGAAAAGGAATATCAAAATTGACTTAGACATCGCACTTGATAAATTTTTATTTAATTAGAGAAATACGCGTAATGGTACTACAGGAGTTACACAGAGAATGTTCAATCGAGATATTAGAATTAAATGGGATGTATTAAGACCGTTGAAGGAGAAGGAGAACAAAATAAACGTTACTTTACCACGAAATAGAACCTTTAAAGTAGGAGATTTTGTTTGGTACAAAGTACAATGTGATGACAAATGGCGTAAAGGCATGATCACATACAAAGAAAGTGACATGATGTTCCAAATTAAGACAGATAAAGGTATTTTGAGGAGACATTTAGATCAATTAAGAATTAGAAACTGTTTTAACACACTTATTAATTATGACTCTAAGGATTCTTTTAAGAAGGGAAGTGTGGACAAAAATATAAAAATTACTGATAAAAATGATATAACACCGATTTCTAGACCAATGCGAATTAAACAAAAACCTGCTTATTTAAAAGACTACATAACTTAAAATATAAAAATAAATATTAAAATGCATAAAATAAATTAAATATTAAAACGCTTACACTTAAACGGAAAAAATGAAAACGCTGAAAATATTATATAACAATCTTATTGATTTATCATTCTTCATTTATTCTTATATCCAACTTGATGAACTATTATTTCTCATTATTCACAACGTATTGATGATAATAACAATTTTGAAAATTGATAATAATAACGACTGAGCATTACAAGCAAGCTATATGTCATATTCACGATTTATAAGGACAACTTACGATAAGGATATCAATATTACGATTTAAACAACCCAACGTGCAAAATCGATTTAAACAAACCAACGATTGGGACAAGCCAGCGATTACTATGACTTATGAAACAACTTGATGGTCAAAACGTTAAAACATTTTGGACAACAAACTAACTATGACAGCACATGAAAAGGCTTCTTTAGAAGAAGGAGAATGTTGAATAATATAATTTTCGTTTTACAAATTGTAACTTTATTTTAGTCGTAACTTATATTTTAGTTTATTTTAAGATTGTATTTTCATTTTAGTTTTATTTATTCAAATATTACTTTTGTAAAAATGATATAAATACGTTGTAAAAAAGTATAATAAAACAGATAATAAAAATATATTTTTCGTTTTCTCTATAAGTATTATATCAGATTTGATGTGTCATTTATAAAACTATATGTAAATAATTTATATATTGGATTTAATTTTTCTCTAGGCATTATAATTTATAAGCTTAAAATATTTAAAAAATGTTTTAAAATGGCAATATATTAAAGTTTATAAAAATTATGACTTACACTTATCAATCAAATGTGATTGATAATAATCTTTAAAACAATTCGAATATAATTAAAATTTTCGCAATATATACTAATAATAACTTACACAAACGTAAAATTATGAGACTCGAACCGGTTCAGAGGAATTTTAGCAATTCGGTTCAGGTCCGGCTAGAAATTTCTTTACGGTTCAGGTTCAATAAAAAATGCCGGTTTTTAGCGGATTAAAGGTTCGGTTCAGGTTTGGTTTGGATCCTGTATATTTTTTAAATGATTTATTAATTTTTTTACCAACTTTTTTTTGATATATCTTTTGATCCCTAATTATTAATATTTTTTAAGATTATTTTTTACGTATTTTTTTCTGATATATCTTTTAATCGCTAATTTTTAGGTAAAATATATATTGTAAACATGTTAAATTAAAATTTCAGTGAAGATGTATCAAAGAAAAGTGACAATTGTCAAAATCTTTATTTTTGAATTAAAGTTAATAGGTAAAAATATATATTGTAAACATGTTAAATTAAAATTTAAGTGTAGATGTACCATAGAAAAGTGACATTGTCATAATCGTTTTCTTTGAACTTTTTTTGAGTTTTTTAAAGTAAATAGGTAAAAGTATATATTGTAAACATATTAAATTAAAATTTCAGTGAAGATATAACATATTAAAATTGACAATTGTCATAATCATTATTTTTGAACTATTTTGAATTTATTTTAAATAAATAGGTAAAAATACATATTGTAAACTTGTTAAATCAAAATTTTAGTGAAAATGAACTATAGATAAGTGACAATTGTCATAATCGTTATTTTTGAACATTTTTGAATATTTTTTAAAGCTAATAGGTAAAAAAATTTTTGTAAACATGTTAAATTAAAGAAGTTAAAACCCCACCCCTTTTACCAAATGTTTCTGATTTGGTAAATATTATTTAAAAATAATAAAGAATTTACCCCTATCAAAAAAACTAAAAATGAGTATATGATGTCATAAATATATAAAAAATAATGTCCTTATAAAATTTGCGAGAAATTTAAAAAAAAGGAGTATAAACTCAATTTAAAACATAAACTGGCCAAAGGCCTTTAAAAAGGGAGCGTAAAATTATTCAAAAAAATTAGTTAAAAAAATTACCTATATCCTTCATCTCCAAAAATTTTAGATATTATAGTGTTTGGCATATAATCTTAGTTATTGTTAAGAATAAATATAAATATGAGGGCTAATAAAATTTAATCTGTGCTATATTGCAACATTGAAAAATGCTAAAATTTATTTCGTTTATAAATATATTCACAGAAATATATTTCGAAAGCTGTAAAATACTTTGATAGATTTACATTTCAATATTAGCTCTAACTTGTAAGTTTATATCGTTCACTAAAGTGAATAAATATTTAAAATATATTTCCTCACAGATTTGAAATTAATATGCAAAGATATTATAGTTAGTTGATATACAAAATAACCGATGCAGGATTTTTTATTTTAATATATTTCGCAATTAAAATTTTAGAAAAAATAAATTAATTTTAAAAATGAATTAATTATACATCGGCCTACTATTATAAATTATGTAAAAAAATTTCGCTATGAAAAGTAAAGTTTAATCATAATAGTGGGATTTTTTATTGTTTGAAGTCATTAAAAAAAAGTTATTTCGAAAAATTAGATTTTACATTGACGATTTGCAGAAAAATAACTCATCATTAATTTTGAATATATAAATAAAAGCGAATTTAGAAATTTTATTGTTAATAGTACTGCTAGTGTCTATAAAATATAAAATATATCAAACAAAATAAAGAGAAAAAAACTTACCAAAATCCAAAATATAAAAAAAAATACTTACAGAAAATCAATAAATCACAAGAACCCAAAAATGAGGGAACTTACAAAAATCAAAGAGCTTACGAAAAAGAACTTACAACCAAAG